CAAAAAAGGCAAAATTAAACATCATAGTGGAAGACCATTTCAAAGAGACCTGGTCAGAATCATTTGGAGTTATTGAATACAATAGGAAATCATTATGCACTCTGTGCGGGGAAAGTGTTGTGTATCGCACATCTAGTGTCAGACGGCACTTTAGCACCAATCACAAGATTGTTGCCGAACTTGATGAAGCTGAACGGAAGGTGTTTATTGAAGTGAAATTGAGGAATTATAATTATCAGAAAATTGGTTTTTGCAATTATCTTCCTGAAACAAACCGTGTAATAACGGACAGCTTTCAAATTGCACTGTGCCTGGCAAAACATGGTAAACTGCTCTCCAATGGAGATTTAATAAAAGAGGTTTTGGGCACGCGGCCAATAAAAGGTTCGCCACCACTGTTTTAAGGTATAGCCAAATTTTATCAATTATGACTGTCTCTTGTCATTTCTGCTATTTAATCTTTTTAATACTTTAGAGTAAATTTTCTATCGTACATTCCTATTTTTGTAAATATGGTTCCTTTCGATACCCTTTACCTCCTGTCAAACTTTGCAGGTGTTATTTTGAGATAACCTATATGTGTTTGAAAGTAAAGTTGCAAATGAGATTTTGAAAAGCTACTTAATGTATTAGTACTTTGAAACATCCTTCTTCCTCTACATAAAAATTCCTACGGTATTCCACCTTCTTCCTCTACAGTTAAAATAACATTAAAAATTCTGATATCTTTTACAGAAGTGGACGTTTGATTTTCTTAGAGTACTAAATTGGAAGGCTTTGAATATCAAATAATTGTTCTTACTTTCCGATCAGGTGCGTGCTATATCCAACTTCTCTCAATATCTCTGGCAGGAAAGAAAGTTGAAGGGAAACTCCAGTGGGTATCAAAGGGTGTAAAACATGATTCTAAAATAGTAGCATTAAATAGTAACTGAAGTACGTTATGAAAAGTTTTTCAGTAATTTTATAATTAGTCTTACAACAAATGAATTGCAGACTTACCTGTCGTCCAACTCGATAGGGATAATATCCTGTCATAAACGAAACTCGAGATCTGAAAATAAAAATACAAGCGGGATTAGTGTATGAGCAAAACGGAAGTATTTATAAATATTGAATAAAAAACCGGGAGTGTTGTAGTTTGCGGCTTATTTATTGTCAAATAAATTTCACATAAGAACGAGTTGCTAAAACATTTGTAATGATATCAATTAACGATTTTTATTGTAAAGATTGAAACAGAAGAGCTATACTACAAATAAAAATTTATTATAAATTTTAAAGGATTCATTGCAATAAAATGCTCTGCTGTTAGAGGTAAGCAATCTGTTAAAACAATGCTGAGGTGAGATCAAGTTCATTATAGCGTTAACTTGTAGAGACATTAGGTTATTTCGAGGCAGGAGCCATGAAAAATGAGCAATGTCCTCGCCGCTCGAACCACGGACCTCTCGAAATCGCGTTGAGCGTGCTGACCACTACACCACAAAGGCATCCTAAATAGGCGGAAGAAATACCTCATAAACTAAGTTCCAGATTAAAGCCACTGTAATTAGTGCTAATGCTATGTAAAATGCATTCTCTCCCTACCCCCACTCTCAAAACGCTAAATTGGAGATAGTTCATTATAATGTGATACATTCAAACCCCAAAAAGGAGCTAAATTTATTTATTACAATCGCCACTGTCGAATGATTTCAGTTATCAATAAATATGGACAACGGAATAGTTTGAAAAATAGCATGAATTTATTCCATTGAACACTGACCATTTTTTAGCTATCTAAGTGGGTGACTATTATAATTTGACCGTTCATGTACTTCTTTCTGTCAATACCAAAGAGAAGATGCAAATTTGATAACTATGTCTGTTTCTTTTTTTTAAAACCATTAAGTTCCTGACAGCATTTTAGCCTGACACAGCAAGCCGTCCACCTAGTCGATCCATGGATTTGGTGTGTGAATTTTGCATCAAAATGCAGGGTTAAAACTCAGGGTTGAAATCTCAATTAGCTGAGCTGATTATTGGTGGATATTGGTCGTATTTAAATATTTGGAATACTGAAACTCTGAAAGTAGCGGTGGTTAGTATTTGTTAAATTTTAATTGTATTGCAAGATGAGATTTTAATAAAAATTTTAGTTAAGTTTTACATCTGGTCTTATTATTGAACTAAATTAGACTCTTGTTTATTTTTGAAGAGGATTCATTCATCAAAGTTTAAAGAAGTGCAGTTAGCTGATTTATTAGGTTTAACGTAATACACCGCGTATATGGCTTTGGCGTTCTATCACACGTAAAATTTCGCCCGTCACCTTTTTACTCAAAGAATCAATGTTGCGTCACGTTTCTATTCTTCTTCTAGCTCTAATTAGTTCTTTTATTTTCCCAGGGAATCAATGCTAGTAAATAGCTCTTTCCTTTTAATAATTAATGTGATTAAATTGAATGAGAAATATAATTTTACTTTTAATGTAAACCAATGTGTATTAACTCAAATTTTGAGATCTACAGATAATTACGAATAACTAATGCACGTATAATAAATGATCTTACTTGAAAGAGGAAAAGCACCGTATGATAATTATTGCCACTGTGAAAAAATTATGAAAAAGTAGATAATTTAATACTGGGAGTCATTAATTAAATTATTGGCTTTATTATAACTATTGCTATTTTTTCTTCTCCCATCTTCTTATTTTTCTTTCTAAGAATGTATCTCTTTTATATGATTTTTTTTTTTTTTTTTTTTTTTTTTTTTGTAGTGTAGCTTAAATTAAAATGATACGGATTCTGAGATGCAATTTGAATCATAAAAGGAAAAGTTAAACGACGTGCTGAAGTTATTAGGCATTTTCTCCGTCCTTTCTACATGTCTTCGGGGTGTAACGGTAGCACACTCAACGCGTATTCGAGAGTTTCAGGTTCGTATCCCGGCGAGGGCATCGCTCATTTTTCATGTTTCTTGCTTAAAATAACCTAATGACTCTGCAAAGTAAAAATATATTACAACCTCTCTGTCTCCTTTAAATTTTAGATAAAATTGATTAGTTTATTCCATAATATAAGTTCTTTTAAAAGGTTTGGTAGGTAACTTAAAATTTCCGATTAAGAAAAAGTGCTATAAATGAGAAATCTATAAAAAAATTTGAACTTGTACTTCGCATACATGAACAAAAAATCATTTGGGAATGATTTTTTATGTTCAGTTATGATGATTATATTGGATGTTTCACAGTAAGATCTGCAACGCACTTCCCATTTCAGACTAATTCATGTAAAGCAATGTGACAGTCTAGAGAAATGTATCACCATTTATAAACGATGCGAGTATCGTTGTCCAATTAAAAATTTTCCTACTTTAATACTTGTTTTTATGAAAGTTTTTATTTTAATGATTATGATAATTCTTCAAACTTTGTAAAGACTTTAATTTTCCTAATAAGTATCAGATAGTGTAGAATTTTATATTAATTAACCAATTATTATGATTTGAACTTTGACTTCTTTTATCTTTTTCATCTAATTTGCATTTTCTTTTTTTCTTTCTCCAATTAATTTGCATTCTCATCATAACGCATTAAATTAAAACCCATTTTTAATTTGCATAATAACAAACATAATAATAATTTGCATAATAAAGCAAATTAGTTGCTGGGTATTTCAGACAAGGGTTTGAAAGGTTTAAGGTTAGATCTTCTGATAGTCTTGCATTGCAGTTGCATAATAACAAACATAATAATAATTTGCATAATAAAGCAAATTAGTTGCTGGGTATTTCAGACAAGGGTTTGAAAGGTTTAAGGTTAGATCTTCTGATAGTCTTGCATTGCAGTTATATACTATTGCCATCTCTGCAAAAGTTATTCCGGCTTCAACCATTATGGTGGCCTACGTTTTTTAAACGTCGTTAATTACTTGAGCCAGCTTAAGTAGACTATTTGGTGTGTTGCCTCAGATTACGTTGCCTAAATTTGAATTTAATTTCATCTTATGCTATTCTAAATACCCACGAGTTTCTTCTATATCACAAGGAGTGTTTTCTGTTAATTTCAAGAGTTCAATAAAAAGGCTATTTTAACCTTTCTAAGACTTTGTCATTTGAATTCAAGGCTGGAGTGATAACTTGCTTGTCAGTTTAGAAGGGTCGCAAAAACAGTAATCTGAGCTTCTACACAGGCAGAACCCAACAATAGAACATTAACAGTTCTATTACAGCTGAAAGAAGTTCCTCTTTTTGATATTAAAAGAAGCGTAATTATTGTAAAATGATATGATTTAATAATTTTAGCAACCTTTCTTATATCACTCTCCTTGTTGCATTAATATTTCTCTGGAGTGCCAATCATTTTGCGATTTATGTGAAAAAATGCATTTGATGTCTTAAGGAGAAAAGAATTTAATGAAGACGTGTTACATTGTGGAAGATGCTCATTTTAATTAATTCGCTAGAATGCGAGCAGGGTATATCCAAGATTCAGAGTAATAATTTTAGTGGGACTTAAAACATTAATAAAATAATTTTCCATAAAATAACAATTATTTTTATATTTTAAACGGAGAGCAATGAAATTAATGCATAATATTTTAAATGATTTATTTTTAAAATTATATTTAGTTTTGCTAACTTGCAAAACAAATATATGTTAACTTGCAAAAACACTGTTTATAGATTTAATATTCGAATTTTTTTATTATACAAATTAAAAATGGGTTTTAATTTATGTTTCGATATATATTCATTATTTCATTTACAAAAAAAGAACACATTCTTAAGACTACTTAACAAAGAATATATGAATTACATATATAAAAATTAAAAATTTAAAAAACAGCATTACGTATATAGTATGCAGCACAAAACTGCTGTAAGGAAAATTCCGTACTCTTCAATCATGATAGTTTATTTTTCAGTTGAAAAAGTATCTTTCATTTGAAATTCAGAACTATTTTTCAGTTAAAAATATCGCATTAAAGATTACAAATTAAGTATATAAAATGTTTGTTTTTATTACATAAATCATTTTAAAGTACCACACTAATGATGTGTGTTGAAAAGAGGACTTACATTTTCCAAAGCATTTTTATCGTGTATATACATATTTTTATACTTATTTTAATAATTAATTTCAATTTGATTACATCCTAGAACGATATGAACAGCCGCTGATGAATATAATGTAATGGGATATTTTTTGAGTTAAATATTAATGAAATGGGAGACTTTTAAAATTTTTAAACTTATTAAAGGTTCTAAAAATTAAGGAAAGCAATGTGTATTTAATTTAATGAAAAATTTAAATATCAATAACAAAAGTATTTTACAAGGAAAATTGTTGCCAATTCCATAGAAAGATCCTAATTTTTCAAGGAGAATTGTTTTTTTTTTCATTTACTCTTATGCATATATATATATATATACACACACACACACATGCATAAGTTATAAGGTATTTCTCCCGCCTTCCTAGCGTACCTTCGTGGTGTAGTAGTTCTGCACGCTGGGCCGGTATTCCAGAGGTCCATGGTTCGTTACCGGCGAAGGCGATTGCTCATTTTTCATCTCATGCCTGCTTCCACAAAATACCTAATGTCTCTACAAAGTAAGTAAATCAGCTTTTTCACAAGCATGTAAAATAGTTCAGAAAATATATTATGAGACAGGAAACTATTTAAAAATTTTTAGGTTGTGAAAAATTAGAAGCTAGAAAATGTGTATCAACTTACGGTGTACACACAGCTTGCACATAGCTTTGATTTAGAATAACTCCGTTCTTTGCCAACGAATCTAGATTTGGAGTTAGGATATTAGAATTGTGCCAGCCTACATCATTCCAGCCTATGAATAAACATTTACAAGATTTCAGACATTTAGTATATTTACAACATTTCAAACATTGGAATGATTTGCTGTTTTCTAAATTAATGCATTTTTAAAAAATCCTCGGACTTTATTATAAATAGAGTTGGAATCATAACATTAATTATCTTGTCATTATCACTGACGTTAGTGACATATATTCAACTATAAAAAATTTAGAAGCATTTACCTAAATCATCAGCTACGATGAATATAATATGCGGCGGTTGTTGTCCTCTTGCCTGTAAACAAGCGAAGGCAAGTACAGTAATAATTCTAAACATTTCGTCGCGGCATAACGTTTGAAAGTTTTAACGCCTGCTAGAATGCGAGCAGGGTAAACATTTTCTTAGGATTAACGAACTGCTGCTTTCTCCTGGAGAACCGGAAGTATGAAAAAGTCTACTTCCTTTTTTCGGAATGTAACTTCCTTTGCGAATATTTCTAAATCCTCTGTCGCATTAGGGTCAGTGCCGGGTCTAGCTCAAAGTTTGTGACATGTCTTGTAGGTATGTTTCTAAAAAATATATTTAAATATCTTTTAATATATTTTTTTAATAAAATTTTAATAAATTTAAATAATTTTAAATGAAATTTTTAAATAAAATTATATATATATATACATATATATATAAATGGACAAATCCCAACAAATACTTGCTTCTCAAGCATTTGTCGGGAGCAGCCAACCTATCGTTTATCTTCAGTAACATTATCCAGAGTGCACACGAGTTGATAGACCATATATTCGGACTCAGCGTCAAGTCTCCAATCTATATTAGGTTGGGAAAGTGGGAATGCCATAGTATGGGTCTCTGCACTCACTGGAGTATACGATAATGGCGTACGAAATTGCCAAATTGGCAGCCGCTGATGAATATATACTGTACATGCTACGCCCGAAGTCGCACATGAAAGCGACCCACTAGGACCCTTTTAATGGAGCAGTGGAAAAGTTTCTGGGATGATGACCACAGTGTAAGTATAATTAATATACAATATAATATTACAATATCATATAGTAAGTATAATTAATATACAATATATAATAACCCTTCCCAAGATCAGAGATATATTACGCAGTGGTACTTAAGCTACTTATTTCGTTCCGGGACAGTGCTGTGTATATATGAAGAAGTTGGAGACCCTGAACATTGCACTTTTTAGTGCCCAGAAACAAGTGCTTATCATCTCCGCATTCCATCAGCTGAAAACAAATATGTGTGGGCAAATTACATTTGCTGCAATACATACGCGCTCAGATGTATCCAGCACTGCACTGACATAGCTCTTGCAATCTCCAATCGACTAAATAATTAGACAGCACCCTGGCCATAGCTAAACCTAGCAGCAACCCAGAACAGTTTACTTGACTGGAACAACCGCCTTGTTGTCAGAGAAAGGAAAAGAAAGAAAAGCCATGAAACTGAAAAATACATAATGTATATATTTTTTAAGACAGTGACAGTGGTATATCAGCTCATTAGACATCTTTACAAGTTCTGCAAATTCTGCATAACAAGTAGTGTATGTATAACAGATTTGTAAAATAAATTAATATTGGAATATAGTAGTGTAATATAGGTACTGTACGAATTTTATAGTATGTATGTACTTGTGCTAGGGTACCAGCGTTTGGGTACTGCAGAAACGCTCAATATTTTAAAGTGCTTACCTAATGAATCGCTTCATATATTGCAAAATATTATTTTGTTTGTATAGGTGTAATATCATGTATCAATTTCCAAATGATTACAATACGTTTATAACAGTATTGTATTTCGAAAGCCCCCACAAATACAGCTCTATTTTTAAAACAAAAGAACAGCACATGCACTGCTCCCTGCAGCTTAACAGTTGAACAATCAAAGCAATAATGTTTTTAGCCACATGGCTGAATCCATTTCTTGCACTGCACTTTAGTTGCCCTATAAAGACTGCTCCCAGTGGACATGCCTCCAGACTTGTGAACAAAATTAAGGCTGATAAGCATCATTCCCAAGTGAACCAGCTTCTCCGTCTGTGGAGTAAAGTAAAGATGATAGACCGATATTAAACTTGCAAGAAGAAGGGGTAACGTATACGCGTAATTAATGTGGGATTATGTGGGATTCAAACCTACACCCAGGAGTTCAGACTAAAGCAGTGGGCCTCCGCTTACCACTTTACCAGTCATGGCCAAACTGCAGGATGAGAACTGCTTGAGACCCTTTAACCACTTAAACGCCCCTCTCCATTAATTAGTCACTTTATTTTTAAAATGTGATTTTTTCAACAGGAATCATGCAACGACACGTTTATTATCAGTCAATAACTTACATTATATGCGTAATAATTTTCTCTACTTCATACTGTTCGCTTAAACAAAAGGGCAAGTAGTTTGGAATTATTACCGTGGCCATGTTAAGGCAGACACAAAGACCGTTTAAATGTAAGGCACTCATTCCCCCCCTCTCAGGTTTATTTTATTTCTATCAGTTTCTGGTTACTGTTCTGATACACAGTCCCCTTCTTCTCAAGACCCGTGAGCCAATATCTCAGATGGTTTGCTATTCCTTGCAGGGTACTACTGTTGTTCAGTCCTGGGATTGCCTGAGTGACCGCTGAAGAAATTTGTTTTCAGGGTTGAAGGAGAAACACTATCCATTCATCACTATTCATTCCAAACAGCTCTTTCAGTTTGCGAGGAATATGATGCCTAGTGGTTTCCTATATAGACTTTATGGAGGATGAAGTAAAGCTTCCTACTCATACCTGGGCAGCAGATCTGTCACGAATTCCCAAGCACGAGTTACAATAGCGAAATGAATTACCCATCATTTAGCAAGGCATGTGATTTCTGTGCAATTTTATGGACACTCGCGTGTAGCACATTTTTTCTGCATAGAACCTTTCGTTATAATTTTTTTGGTAATGCTAAGCAGAGATCATCATTTATTTCATCTATGATTGCGCATGTCAAAGTTTTCGAAGTGGCAAGGAGGATGACTTCTTCACTGGATTGACAATGATTTCAATATTGGGTCGAAATCTATAAACCACATGTATTCAACGGCGATTATGCAAGACAGAAGTCTTTCTCTTTCATTGCTATATCTCTGTTTCAACAACATTGCATCAAAAGTGATGGACCCAAAATTTTAGATTGAGCACAACTTTTCTTTTTAACAAAGCTTCGGTCAAAATATCGCATACTGATGCTGACAAAATTGCTGTAGCTGATAAAATTATTTATGAGACTATAAAACAAGTATAGAAAAAGAAGATAGAAAGTATTTTCTCCCTTCTTACTGCGTGGTGTAATTGGATAGCACTCCCCTCTGACAGTCGGGAGGTCAGGGGTTCGAATCCCGAAGAGGGTATTGCGGATTTCTTCAGGTTTCTGGCATCGAAAAATTCTAAGAGACTGTACAAGTAGTGCCCGAACTAAAAGGTGGTGGACGATAGTTCGTCACCACCAGGACTGGCCACTAGATCTCCTCATCCCCAGTCGCCTTTTAGGAGGGGGAGGTTGTAAGGTATTTTATCCCTCCTTACAACGTGCCTTCGAGGTGTAATTGGTGCCACGTCCGGATAACAAACGGAAGGCCCAGTGTCGAATCCCAAAGAGTGTCTTCAGTTTCTGGACGCCGAAAAATTCTAAAAGACCTGAAACATTTTCTGCCATTTCTCTTGATGCTTTTCTTTTTTTAGACCCCCCCCAATCAATGTACGCTTCCTTCGTCTGTTATTTTTTGTGGCTTTCTATCGTTCAGAACTTGTAGCCCTGTTATATCCTTCACAAAACCAGTAGACCATCCGGAAGACTATTCTGTGAACTGCTTCGAGATCTTCATCAACTTCCTGCAATGCATTTTGAAATTTGGTTGAATGTTTACAACCTAAACTTACAATTTTTAAGTATGACTTTTCATTTTTACAATCACATTAACTCCTAAACTTTCAGGCTTCATTTCAATCAGTCGCTGTTTCAGAATCCTGTACTCTAAAGAACTTAACAGGACATTTTCATTTGCCCCAGTCCTTCAACCGTAAAATAATACAGAGACACTATAAAAACAATTTCCCGATATATGAATCCCTGGCGGCCAATCCGGGCAGTTAATTGAAATTAAATTTCAGAAATTATTATTTGAAGATACGCGCTGAAAATTGTGATGATTTAAAACAATAGAGTTCTCATGATTGCAGTTACAGTGAAAGAAATTTCGAAATTTTTAAATAACAATACGTACTTCGGCAAATAGACCAGCGCATTGGGGAAACCATAAATGGCGTTAAAACGATGCTTGTATGTCGAAAATCTCCATCGTAAAAGATTTGCAAAGAAAAGTATTGTGAAGGACTAATGACAACACAAGAGAGGAGAAGGGAATTTTTTTTTATTGGAATTACAAGTTTTCAACGTGTACAACATTTCAAGATAGAGTCGTCTCCTGTAACATTGTAGTCTCGTGACCACAGCGATCCCCGGACCTTAATCCGATGGAACTCTGGTTCTGAGGTTATCTGAAATTTAAGGTGTACACATCAAGTCCACAAGATTTGCCAGAACTGAAAGATGCCATAAAACGTGAAGCTATATAGATTCCTCCTGTTTGTCATTGTTGTCAACAATCTCCCGCATGCAACCCGTTATCGTCTGTAAAGGTGGGCATACTGAAAACTTGCGGGTCCACTAAAACGTTTTTTGTGTATTGTTGTAACACTTTTTATGTTTTTTCAGTGGGATGCTCAATTTGCCCAGGAAAAAAGTTAGTGTTGCCAATCGAAAATTTCGAAATGTTTTCACTGTAACAGTGGCCGAAAAAGCTCTATTGTTTTAAATCATTACATTCTCGAGCGCATGCCTTCATATAACAATATCTGAAATTTCATTTCGATTGGTTGAGCGGATAGGCGGCTAAGGGCTCATATATCAGGGAAGTTTTTTATGACCACTCTGTACTTACAGCTACATGTGACAATTCAGATAATTTCGGAAGCAGCAGAAAGCAAATTATTAGTCGTGTCATAGAAAATCCTATTTTACAATAATAATAATAAATGAATAAATAAATAAAATAACCGCGAGGAAACCATAGCGATACATTGAGAATCTTCATATAATGGTTGAACAATCAACTCCCGATAAACCGCAGGTGGAATAACCAAGTTAAAGATTAACCAGCTCTTGTCTTAAAGAAAAAGCTATGAAACAAACATTTATTGCAGAAGGATGGAAAATTTACCATCGCAAACCATCAGCGTAGAAAAAAAAAACTGTCAATGCGAAATTAACAAAGGAAAAAGAAAAATTTCGGATAACAGCAGTGATCTGCCGGGCGAACTCTGCAAAAGACAAAAAGTTCTGATACGCCGCAAGTTTG